GTGTACCTAATAAAGTGGCCGGTGAGTGTATAAAGTTATTAGTGAAGAAAACCCGTCTGGATAACAGCAGACTGACTGCTGGTAAAATATACGACAGGTCTGGACCACTCGTGAATTTTGTTCGTATCTGAAAAAAATCTTAGAATACGAAAACATTGGTGAATGTCACAAATTCTCCTAAATCACTCGTACGCACAACTTAAGAACAAATCTGTGCATACGAACGGTTCTTGCATGAGGCCCCATGTTTTATGGTCCTGGTGGAGTTTGATGCTGTTTTTCCTGAATTTATTTAAGTTCTAACACAGCTAAACCGGCGTAGCTCCATTGAAATCAAAGAAGCTGCTACGAGAGATTGTATGCGCGTCAGTGTGGAGCAGATAGTCACGTGACTCGTGTTCTAAAAATAGCCTGAGTGAAGATCCCCATTGACAAACCAATCATGGAGGGAGTTTGTTGTTCTAAACTTTGATTAATATGTCTTATTTGAACTGTTTCAAACTGTGCCAGTGCTTTTCTTTGTTTTCTTTCTCCTGTTGCTCAGTCGCACTCCATCAGTTTCTGAGACAAAAGAGTCGAGTGAATCAGCATAACAAAAAGTCTGGCTCAGAGAGGAACCAGCCGGAGCATGTGGCTGACACAAACCTCCCCGTGAGGGTGCTACGTATTTGTTCCCAACTGTCGGATACTTCCTTGTTTTCACTTTAGTCACAACACAGAAGCACAGCTCCCTAAACTCTTCCTTTCCTCTCGTCTTCGCCCTGCTCTCAGCGCTGCTTTCTGACTCCTTGTGGAAATCTTGGGTGGGATTCAGCACCACAGGGACGTCTGCTTGTTTAGGTTATAAAACTAATATTTATACGCTTCTAGAAATACTTGCAAGTAGAATTACAAACCTGGCTGACATGATGACAACAGTTATCCTTACAAACTCTATAAATTCTATATTCCCACTCAGACTATTCAGACTGCCTTTCCTCTACAGATCTTCTGATTATCTATGATCTATGATGTGATTTTCTTTCTCAGCCCTGCAGCAATGAATCACACTACAAATGATCACACTTATTGCTAACATTCTTCCTCAGCATCAACATAAAAATATTTAGATTGATTTTCAATTTCCCATGCAGCCACTCACTGCTCCATTAATTCAGGACAATAAATGTTTTTTTTTTTCTTTTTTTATCATCTTAAAGTTCT